TATCCATCAAGACCTAAGCAATTTCCTACCATTTTCTTTGCTTTCACTCTCCTCCATAATATTTTGTTTCTACATAAACTGGCTTACGTCATAAACGTTTACAGCTAGCGTAAAATTATTTTTTATGCAAAATAGACATTTCCCTCTCAATTTCTTTTCTTTTGGTGTGACTTGTAAAATGGTTTGACGTATGATAATATTTAACTTTATAAAGTCAGAACAAATTCCTTCATGAGCCCGAGGGAAGGAGCACTGAATCTTTGTTCAAATTATGTTTTATGACTATTTTAGAATTGAATCTTCACTTTGTTAGAAAAAGTCTTTGCTCAAATCTCGTGAACATACAACTAGATATTTGGCCTCGATGGTCCTTCTTTTTCAAGCATACAAGCTGCATTAGGTATCCATGGCATACAAGCTGCATTAGCTAATTTCGATGAAATCCAAGTCACCAAAATCAAAATGTGTGGAAAATAAAAGCATCTGCCGGCCAAAGTTGTCAAACATGTCAACACCAATTATGCCATAGCCATAGGAGGTACAAATGTCAGCACTTGGTCCTTCTTTTTCAAGCATACAAGCTGCATTAGGTATCCATGGCTTGGACAGATTTGTCTCTAAGCTAATTCCATGGCTTTCTAGGAAGGAACAGATCAAGATATGAGCCAAAAGAATCAGAAAAACTTATATGAAATGGGGATAATACTGGTTTGCTATCCCGTCTAATTACAGAATGTTACGTGAAAAAATTATCACGTGTGACATATCGTAATTGATTAAAAATAGCATTATTTTAATATTTCCGTTTCATGTAAGCCAAGATATGAACCAAAAGGACATCATGAGCTAATTTCGATGAAATCCAAGTCACCAAAATCAAAATGTGTGGAAAATAAAAGCATCTGCCGGCCAAAGTTGTCAAACATGTCAACACCAATTATGCCATAGCCATAAGAGGTACAAATGTCAGCACTACGTTGCTTGAAGTATACAGATGCTCATGGTGGCGGCACAAATCAAACAACCCAAAAAGATATGTATTTTTTGACCAGGCCAAGGTTGGCCCCTATTGCCAATATGCCAACTTAAAATATAATTTATGTCTCTTCCGAGTGCACGGGTTGGCAATAGAGCTAGTGAAAACAGAACAGAACTCAAGCCTGGTCAAAAAAGGAACAGAACTCAAGCCAAAACACACTTTTGATGGTCTAAAAAATGGTTGGACCACACTTAGAAATCCAGTTCAAACATGAAAGTATTGGTAGCTGTACAAAGCACTATTCTGTATTTGCTTTTGTGTGAGAAACTCGGGGTCATTCAAATGAGAAAAACTTAGGTGTCTCGGGTTTTTACACTCTCTCTATCTCTCTCGTTAGAGTAACTCCACCCATTTGCCCTTAGTCATGACAAGGGGGGAGCTAAGTCAGCCACTATTCACGTGTGAATAGTAGTTGCCCTTGCAAATAGTATTTTGTGTTTCCACCCGTTGCCATGGCTAAGGGCTGTTACTATTCATTTTTTTTTGTTTTTTTCACAATTTTTTTACCTCAATAATTAATTAGGATAATATTTGCGGACAAGATTTTCGGGTTCCTACGTGTCAAGACTATTCATAATCGGATAAAATTTCCGGATAAGATTTTTGTGTTCAAATTTCGGATGAATTTTAAATTTCAAATTTCAGATAAATTTGGGTTCAAATTTCGGATGAATTTCAAAATTCAAATTTCAGATAAATTTGGGTTCAAATTTATTTATGGTTTGGTTGTGTTGTTTTTTATTTATTATGGTTTGGTTGTGGTTTGTTTTTATTATTGTGCCTTGTTTGTAGTTTTTGTTTTTATTATTTAGGTTTTTTATCACAAATGGTCCCTGACGTTTGCAAAATTATCATCTTTCGTCCATAACGTTTTTTTGTGACACTAATGGTCCTTAAGGTTATCCTCTATACATCAAAATGGTCCCTGCCGTTAGTTTCTGTCAAATTTTCTGTTAAATTGCGTACGTGGCATGTGTGTGGAGCCCACACATCCAATGGTATAAAGCCACATGGCTTTAAATAAAATAAAATATATTTTAAATATTTTAAAACTTAAATCCATAAAAACAAAAATAAAAATACCTGCACCCTCTGCATTCTCACTCTGCCAGCGCCCTTCCCCCTCGCAGACCCACCCACCTTTTGCCTCTCTCTCCCTCCTCTTCCTCCCTTCTCTTTCTCTCTCTCCCTCTCTCTCTCTCTCTCTCTCTTTTAAATTCTACAAAGCTGGCTTTGACTTTTGCTTTGGCTAAGGCTGCAACGCCAAAGCCTATATGTGATCTTTGGCTGACCTTGTAGAAGGAGACTCTTGGACCTCCACAATGACCACATTATGTTTCTTGCTTTTGATGTCTTTCCTCTACATCTCCTACTTTGTAAAATCTGTTTTCCCTCCAATCTTGTAAGCAACAGCAATCTTTTACTGCCCATGTCCGATCACAAGCAGAACCAAAAGGAGGGGCAATGTTTGGTTGGTTAGACTGTAAAAGTGAAGGAAGAGGAGGGAGAGAGAGGCAAAGAGTGTGTTTGCGAGGGGGAGGCGCAGCGCTGGCAGAGGGAGGACACAGAGGGGACGGTCATGGTGCAGTTTTTTTTGTTTTTTTGGATTTAAAGTTTTAAAATATTTAAAATATATTTTTATTTTATTTAAAGCCACGTGACTTTATACCATTGGACGTGTGGGCTCCACGCACGTGCCACGTCAGTAATTTAACAGAAAATTTGACGGAAGCTAACGGCAGGGACCATTTTGATGTGTAAAGGGTAACCTTAAGGACCATTAGTGCCACAAAAAAACATTAAGGACAAAAGGTGATAATTTCGCAAACGTCAGGGACCATTTGTGATAAAAAGCCTATTATTTATTATGCTTTGGTTGTGGTTTTTCCTTTAAATTATGTTTTGTTTGATGTATGGAATATGTTGAATAAAAAGGTATTTTATTGAATGCTTTGTTTATTAAATAAAGAAAGCCAATACAAGTCATTAAGAATTACTACTACTAAAATAAAATACATGAATTACAAGAACTTTAATAGAAAACATGAAAAATACAAATACATAAAAGGTATGCCAACTAATTTAATGGTTTTGATCATTTAACTAATCCGTGTTGCTAGGCCCATCATCCCGGAAAAGTTTTCTTCTCATAACATCCCTTCGTTCTAGCTTCCAAAATTGTTTTGTATCATGGGACATATGGCTTGTATCCATCGCCATGGTTTCCCGATCCGTTTTGTCCATCTCTTTTTTCCGCAAATACTCCCTTTCTTGTGCATATTGTGCTTGCATTGCCATCTCA